CTGATCATAATATTTTAGATGGGTAGCTATTTTATTTCAGCCTTTTAAAGATGTAATTTCACTGCCTCTTGGCTTCCACTGTTGAGAAGTTGGCTCTAAGTCTTACTGTTGCTCTTTTGAGAGTAATCTGTCCCTTTTTCTCTAGTTGTCTTTGAGTTTGAAAATTTCTCAGCCACTACTTCTTCAGATATTGCTTCCATTATTTCCTCCTTTTATTTGCCTGCTGATACTCTAACTACAAGTATACTAGATCTTCCCACTATATCTTCTATACCTCTTAGCATCTCTTGTAGACTTCCATCCTTTTCCTCTTCATGCTTTATTGTATGATTGTCTTCTGACCTATCTTCCACTTCACAGATTTTCTCTTCAGCTGGGTCTAAACAATTGCTAAAGTTATTCATTGAGTTCTCAATTTTGATTACTATATTTTTTTAATTCTATAACTTCTTTTTGTCTCTTTTATATAGTTTCTGGTTTGCTGTCTAAATCCTTAATCATTTATTTTCTTGAAAAAAATAACAGCACATGTTATATATCTTCTGTTCACCTTTATGGATATATCTTCACTCTCTCCACTCTGCTGTCTCTCCAGGAACGTGATCTGCATGGACTGTATCAACGAACTTTCTTGTCCTCTGGCTTCTAGCTGTGTTTGGCTAAAGCAAAGTACCAGTAGGACCACATGGAAGGAGGAGAGTGAGATTCGGTACTAATTTACCTGATCTCTTCCTGTGGGGTCGCTGTGGGCTGGCCACATTCCCTGACCATAGACTCTCTGTCTCTGGATTCTGGTAGTTCCTCCCTCCCTGTAACTCTTCAAGCCTATAGGTGGTAAAGCCTCCTTATTGTTAGTAGCCCCAGAATATTGGACCCCATCTCTCCCCGTCACTACCCATACTTTTGAAAATTATTCCTTTATTAAGGAATAATATTATCCCTCATATTATCATTGTTTGATGGTTCCATCTGTGTCTGATTGGAAATCTGACTGACACAACATGTTTGTATTACCAAATGTTTTTGGTTATTTAAAAAATCAGACTGTAGGTGGATCTGTAAGACTTCATGTGGATCTATTTCTACTGTCCTTATTTCTGCTATTTTATTAGTCATATTTTTCTGTTTCATGTGGTTTTTCTATTTTTAAATTTTTATGTATTTTTTTTTGAGATGGGGTTATGAGAATGGCTAATTTTTGTATTTTTGGTAGAGATAGGGTGTTGCCATGTTGCCCAGGCTGATCTCAAACTCCTAACCTCAAGTGATTCACCCACCTTGGCCTCCCAAAGTACTGGGATTACAGGCACGAGCCACCATGCCTGCCCTCATGTGGCTATATTTAACTTATGTGCTAATAATTTTATGTGCAGAATTGCTTATAGAAATGTATTCTTCATTGAGAAAGGACTTACATTTGCTTTTGCCAGGCACTTGGGATTATTGTAAACTGAAGTGTCTGGAAAGCCTTATGTAGTTCAAGTTCATTCTTCTTCAGTACCTTAACTTGAAAAGGGGAGATTCACCAGCAACTCCCCTCACCTTGGCAGGCCCTATAATATAATCCATTCCCTTAATTTAGCCTCTTACCCTTTCTCCAACCCCTCATTAATTGCCAAATGCTCCCAGGATAGAGCAGCCTTATCTTCCAATTTACTTTTTTGGGCTTCCAAATTGGTTCAGTAATTCTTCTCTCTTTTGTTGGGTCTCATTTAAAAAAAAAATTCTGGTTATCTTCAACAGGAAAATTGCTCTGAATTAATCTGCCTCCTTCAAACTTGGCTAGTCTAACTAATTTATCTAGGGTGATGCATCTAGAAGAGCTCAGATAAGCCTAGCCATAAATCCTGTTCTCTTTTGTTTAACGCTAAATCATCTTTTTCCTCAACTGAAAAAAACAGATTGTTTAAAATTGAACCAGAATTTTGCACTGCTAGCTACAAAAGTCAAAATAATTTAATATGCAAGTGTGAGTCTCTTAAGGATGTTCTCCATATCTCATTTGCTTTTATATCCTTAGCACTTAGCATAGTATGTGTTCAGACAGTATTTGTTAAGTAAAAGAAAGAATAAGTAAAAGGATGAAATACATAAAATTCAAATGAAGATAGTTTCTATATGGATTATATTTCTCAACCTAAAATAATCCTCATCTAGTATATCAGGTGTCTTCCTTGTTCAATTTTCCTTTTCAAGATAAAATTTTTAAATGGTATAAGTGGAACACATCTATAAATTCAAGGCTTCCATTATCAGCTCCCCTATCCCAAATATTACAAGAGATTATCAAGTTCAAGACTAGCCTAGTTTCTTTCTAGGAATCCCTAGGACTGGGGAGGACTATCGGATGGTGGTCCAGTGCCAAATACTAGAAGGATCTATTCCTGTCAATCCACCTTCAGCATGCCTCAAACTGGACTCAGCATCATCTCCTCTTCCCTTTATTCTCCTTCTCTATGTTTACTACCTTATTTGGTGTCATTGCATCATCCTCTCAGTTACCTGTACCAGAATCCTAGGGGTCATCTCTTATTGCATCCTATCCAAATCACCAAGCTTAGTGAGTCAGTGTCTACATATTTCTCACATTTGCCCCACCCTGGACATCTCTACTGTGACTGCTCTAATGTGAGTTCTCATTGCCATTCACCTGGAGGTCAGCATTGGCCTTTTAACTGGTCTCACCTTTATCCTCTCTGGACCATCCCCACGGAGAGATCAAACATTGGCACGACATTGCCTAAAGCCCTTTGGTTCTTTCCTATTGTCCACAGACAGTCTAAACTCCTTGCCACAGTTGGTAAAATCTCCATAATCTGGCCCTTACCTATCTCTCAAGCATCCTTTTCCACTGTTAGCCTTTGTGTAGTCCATGGTCTAAAACTGCCAAACATATTACATACACTTCCAAGTATTCCTGGTGTTCCTTCTGCATGAATTTATCTTCCCTTACTTCTCCCCTTATTTTAAACTTTACTTATTCTTCAAGAATCACCTTCTGCCTCTTCAGTCTAGTCCAAGTGGCCCTTCCATGTGCTCCTATGGCAAAGCTTCATCAAAACACATAATTAGCCTATAATCCCAGCACTTTGGGATGCCGAGGCAGGCAGATCACTTGAGGTCAGGAGTTCAAGACCAGCCTGGTCAACATGGTAAAACCCTGTCTCTACAAAAAATACAAAAATAGCTGGGTGTGGTGTGCATGCCCGTAATCCCAGCTACTTGGGAGGCTGAAGCAGGAGAATAGCTTGAACCCAGGAGGTGGAGGTTGCAGTGAGCTGAGATCTTGCCACTGCACTCCAGCCTGGATGACAGAGTGAGGCTCCGTCTAAAACAAACAAACAAACAAAACAAGAAAACCCCACATAATCAGTTTTTTATGACTGTCACCCTCACCTATCTGTAAGAAACTTGAAGCACTCCAGCTTAATGGTGGCATTTAATAGGCCCTTAGTAACAGTTTGAAAAATGAAATTGAATAATAATCATTAATATTAATCAAAATTAGAATTTATATTGTCCAGGTGTCTTAGTCATTTCAATGGGTGGGGTTTATTTTGTTGTTCCTTGAGTGTATTTTTCTCTTAATTTTAAATAATATCTTTAACTATGAATATTATATTTTAAAGATTCATTATATTTTCTAGCTTATAAATGGGTGATTATCATATTATTTTCAAAGCTGACTTTTTTTTTTAAACACAGCTAGATGGGCATGTTGATATTGAGCTCTCGTTTTCTTATTCTGGGGCCCTCACATATTTTGACACTTTTTTCATTTTCTCCATCAAAAGAGACTCAGTGTTCCATAGAATGGTGCTTCATTTGTTAATATATTATCGTTATTAATATGTTACCTTCCTTCCTACTGGGATTGGAAAGTACATTGTTTTATGCCTTTATTCATTCCTTACCCTAACCAATTCCTTATATTTATGTCATGGAACCATCTCCCTGGTACCTCAGAGTAAAACTCTTCTCTCAGCAGAAATGATAAGTTCCCTAGTTGGTTACTTCAGTTGCTGCAGCAGTAGCTAGTGAGGGTCTCTTCCCCTTGCCATTAATCCTGACAATCACTATCAACTTTCTCACCTTTGATCTAAAAATCCCAGCTTCCCTTATCTTTATAACAATAATGGTGATGCCTATTTCCAGTAATTTGAAGAAGCGACCCAAGGAAGAAGGGAGGGAATGCTTTTTACAAACGACTGGGTCTCCATTTGGTTTTATTTCTTATTCTCTTACAACTTATAACCCCCAAAAGGCAAAAGGAAAGTTCATTAGTTCAGTGTCTGACAGCTCAGAAACTAGTAACCCAACACATTTGTGTCCCTTCCATTGATTTAACCCTTGTGGTAAGTTGGATTTTCAAATAATGTCCACGGCTATATTTCTAGTCTCACATGTTGTTCTGGAACCTTGCCACCTCCATCTTCAACAAGAAATGAAGTCCATCTCCCCTTTGCTTTGTGACTGCTTCGATGGATATAATGTCATGGAAATAATACTGAGTAACTTCTGAAGTTAGGTTATAAAAGGCAACCTGGCCAGGCATAGTGGCTCATGCCTGTAATCCCAGCAATTTGGGAGGCCAAGGCAGGCGGATCACTTGAGCTTAGGAGTTGGAGACCAGCCTGGGCAACATGGCAAAACCCTGTCTCTACTAAACATACAAAATTTAGCTGGGAATGGTGGCACATACCTGTAGTCCCAGCCACTTGGGAGGCTGAGGTGGGAGGATTGTTTGAGCCTGAGAGGCAGAGGTTGTAGTGAGCCAAGATTGTACCACTGCACTCCAGCCTGCATAATAGAGTGAAAATGTGTGAGAGAAAAAAAAAAGGCAACCCACACTTTGGGAACACTGAGCTACTCTTTATGATATCCAATTACCCTGAAGCTGCATGTTGGAAAGGCCATGTGGAGATATCATGTAGAGGGAGAGAGAGGCCCAATGAACTTCAACTATTTTAGCTCTCATTTTTGCATCTTCCCAGTGAACTGACAGACAAAGGCTGGGAGCTGGAACCTTCTGAAGGCTCATTCACTTGCATGTCTGTCATGAAGCTTCAGGGCAGCTCCAGCTGATGCCAGGTGAGCAAAGATGAGCTATTTTCTCTATACCCTGCCAAAACTGCAGATCGTGAGTGAAACAAATGCTGTTTTAAGCCACTTCATTTTTGGAGGGGTTTCTCATGCAGTAATAAGTAGTGAGAACGCCCCTAATGACCTGAGCTCAGACCAGAAGTATTATTTAATCCCTTTTCTGTAAAAAAGTAGAAATTTAAGTTCTTGATGTACTCTTTTATGGCAGACAGAAATGACAAGTCAGAGGGTTTTAAACTCTTTGTTTCCAGGCTACTGGGTGAATATAACACAGGAGATATTTCTTCAGAGCCTCTGGGAAGCTAGAGAAAGAAAGAATAATTGAAGTGGTCCAGAAGGAAGAGAAACATGTGACAGGCTATGCCTGGTACCTCCAGACCAGAGGGTAAGGAATGACCATTCCTTTCTTGTACATGTGTTATCATGGTCCTGCTTTTCCAAAAACGGTATTCACCACCCCCACAGAAGAATGTGAAAGTCCTGCTTTTCAGACTGCATGATTCTTTCCACAGAGAAAGATTTCCCTCTCCCTTCCTCTCCTTGCTACTTACTACATTTCTAGGGCTCACTCCTCCATGATTAGAAGACAGGTGGGTGACTGTCCACGGTGCTGCCCTTTGCTTACTGCACCAGACCATGTTTTGTTCCTTCACAGGAGCCCACATCCACAGGCTCTGTGATTTAAAAAGATAAATGCATCCTAGATCCCTACATGATCTAGAAGGTGTCACTAGGTCTTGTACATTTGTTGCAGATGGGGTATAAAGAACATCTAAAAGGGAAGACCACCCTTTGTTCTTTACTCCAATATCTTACCTTTCCTCCTCTATCTCTTTCCTTCACCCCATGCCCTCTCCCTGCAGGCCTCTTTTATTGCTGTGCCAGATCGTAAGTGGAGGTAGAAAGTAGATGGCAGTAGCATGGTCCTGAGGGTCCGGAGGATAGGACTATGCTTCACAGTTATCCAGGTGGCAGCTGTGGTGAGGGCTGACAGAGATGCTCCATCTGGAGCCAGACCTGCATACCAGTCCAGCCTCTGGTGTTTGATTGCTGTGTGAGTGAAGCAAGCACTGAGTCACATTTTTTCTCATCTGTAGACAGGTAACTCAGGCAGAGCAATGTGATGAGGATTAAGTGGGGTGCTGTATTAGAATCTTGTAAACTACAAAACATTTGACTGATGAAGGGTTACTTCTTTCTATGGGGGCCCCAAACAGAGATTTAAAAGTGGTAAAAGGATGAGTCCAAGGAACTACTGAAGGCTGCAGCAATGACGGGACCGATGAGGAGGGAGGAGAGAAGTTCCCAAAGGCAGAGGAAATCTGGACCAGCATCCCAGCCAGCTGGGTCTCATGGAGCTAACCCAGCAGAGGGAGAAAGAGGCTCACCTGGAGTTGGGCAGATGCCCAAACCAAGGCGGCCGGCAAGGCTCGGAGCTGAAAGGGAAGGAACAATTGTAATAATAGCAGCCATGTGCCGAGCACTGGCCAAATGCCAGCCACTGTGCAAGGCTTACATGCTCATTTAATTCTCACAACAACTCTGAGGCACGTGTTACTATCCTCATTTTACACAGTGGTGAATGAGGTTCTGATAGGCCCAAGAAATTTCTAAAAATCTCACGGCCAGAAAATGGCAAAATCTGGATTCAAATCTAAGGTTTTCTTTGTTTTGTTCTTTTTTTTTTTTGAGACAAAGTCATACTCTGTCACCCAGGTTGGAGTGCAATGGCGTGATCTCGGCTCACTGCAACCTGCGCCTCCCAGGTTCAAGCAATTCTCATGCCTCAGCCTCCCAAGTAGTTGGGATTACAGGTGCCTGCCACCATGCCCAGTTAATTTTTTTTTGTTTTTAGTAGAGATGAGGTTTTGCCCTGTTTGTCAGGCTAGTCTTGAACTCCTGACCTCAAGCGATCCGCCCGCTTCGGTCTCCCAATGTGCCGGGATTATAGGCATGAGCCACTGCGCCCGGCCCAAATCTAGGGTTTTCTTACACCTAACTAAGCCAAAGTTAGCAAGCTTGAGATAAGACTTTTTGTTTTGTTTTGTTTGGGTTTTTTTCATGATTTCTTTTTAAGACAGGTTTTTGCTCTTGTTGCCCAGGCTGGAGCACAATGGCACAACCTCAGCTCACTGCAACCTCCACCTCCTGCGTTCAAGCGATTCTCCTGCCTCGGTATCCCAAGTAGCTGGGATTACAGGTGCCCGCCACCATACTCAGCTAATTTTTTTATTTTTAGTAGAGACGGAGTTTCACTATGTTGGCCAGGATGGTCTTGAACTCCTGAGCTCAGGTGATTCACCCGCCTTGGCCTCCCAAAGTGCTGGGATTACAGGTGTGAGCCACTGTGCTCCGCCAAATTTTTTTTTTTTTTTTTTTAATATATAACAAAGAGAAGCATCAGATCAGAAGAACCTAATGTGAGGCAGACTCCAAAGCCAAGGGATCAAAGAACAGGGTGAGCAAAACAGAAAGGGTAGGGGGACAAGTCAGAAAGGGGTCTGTGCGAGCACCAGAAACATGCACATACCCTCTTCCTTGTGGAGTGGCTCATGGGTGGGCCAGGCACTTTTAAAGAGCTGCAGACAGAGCAATCTCCTGCAGCCTGTTCTTATGTGAGGACCAGAAAATCTTCCACATGGGTCTCCCTGTGCTCGTGTTCCCTTCTCATCATTGTAATGGACAGAATTAGTGCATGGTATCAACCAGCATTCGCCAAAGTTTGTTCTGTGGGACCCAAGTTCCGTGGGGTTAAAAGATACAACTTGGAATGAAGATTCAGTTAAATTCACTTCAATTTAACACACTTAGTGAACACCCACAAACAGAGCTATGATGTATTCAACCATGAACAATAGGCAAAGTCCCAGTTTTCATGGAGCTTGTAGACCAGATGTCCAGTAAGTTTGGAAAATGTTACACCAAAGTGATATTGGTTTCTTTACTGCAAACATTTCAGGGTCTTATTATGATGATATGCATTGTGACTTTCTAAGAGTTGGGTAGAGTATATAGTGTTCCCCCATGATATCTACCCACGGAATCCTATTTTACTTGTTGTAGCTCCTGGGCTAGTGTTCTTTTTTCTTTCTTTCTCTTTTTTTTTTTTTTTTGAGATGGAGTTTCATTGTTTTCACCCAGGCTGGAGTACAATGGTGCCATCTTGGCTCACTGCAACCTCTGCCTCTTGGGTTCAAGCAATCCTCCAGCCTCAGTCTCCCTAGGAGCTGGAATTATAGGCACCCACCACAACCCCCCCTGCTAATTTTTTTATTTTTAGTAGAGATGGGGTTTCACCATGTTGGTCAGGCTGGTCTCAAACTCCTGACCTTGGGTGATCCTGCCTCGGCCTCCCAGGGTGCTGGGATTACAGACATGAGCCACTGTGCCCGGCCCAGGGCTGATATTCTACAGAACAAGCTTGCAGGGGATGCTAGGGTAAACAGAGAATGATACACACCCCTTCACCTCCGTTCATTTTCCCACAATACTGGTAGTGTGGCCAAAAGGGATGATGGGGAACACATAAGCCCAGAACATGGCAGCCAGGTGATGCAACTATGGGGGTAAGGGTGCCATTTGTGGATGTCAAATGATGGCTGCCTCTCAACACTGAGCCTGATGAAGAGTCAAGACTACCTGGAAATCGCCACAGGCGAGCCCACGGAAGGTGTGTGCTTCTCTGAACAAGACTGAGAAGCTCACTGGGCCAGAGATGTAGCAGGAGAAGGAGAAATAGAAAGTGGAGCCTGGGGAGAGGGAAGGTCCTTTGCTCCTAGGCCATAGGAGAGGGGGAGGATTTTCTGTCACAGTCCTGTGGGAGGACCTAGGTGGCAGCTGTCCTGGCATAGGGGAACAGCATGTCCTGTCTTAAAAAGAGAAGTGCTCCTGGAGCCAGTGTGGGGCTTTGTATGCCAGCAATCAAAGTTTATCACTCAGACAAACAAGCCAGAGGAAAAGAGCTGACAAATGGCTAGCATTTCCCCCTCCTTCTTCTCCAGGAAGACGTTTTGGTCTTGGTTTCCTTCTGGGTTTTTCCTCTCTCTGATCTCTCTTGCCCTCACGCAGTGTTCCCTGCCCAGGCGTTACATAACAGCCTGGACTGCAAGGAACACCTATACAAGAGGCCATGACAGTTAGACAATGGGCAGGCACAGGCTACCCTGAGAAAATGGAGTCATTCATGAGCTGTGTGAGAGGCGGCTCTGTTCCCAGCTTGGCTCACTGGTAAATGAAGTGCGCTGGGGACAAAGAGGGAAACTTTACACTCTAGCAATTTTCCCACAGTGGCGGGCTCACGAAAAAACAAGGCACTAGTTGGCTTGGAGGAGAAAAGGCAACCATATCCATAGACTTTGCTTTCTCCCCCACATTGCCGTCTTGTGCCAAAACCACAGAATAAACTTCCAGGGAGGGAACAGCAAGGCTATGCTCGCTCTGGGTCTCAAATGGCAGAAGCCAGAGAAAAGGTGTGGGTCTGCCTTCAGCTTCTGTTTCCATGGCTGCTTGATGGGTTTTCATTTCTGGATCAGCTCATATTTGACCTCTGAGCTAGCTCGCCACCTTAGAGGGAAGGAATGTTTTCAGCTGAGATGATCATCCTGAGAGAAGTCGTAATGGCTTCCCCTAGCGCAGCTGCTCAGCAGGGTCAGGGAACACCTTCCTCTAACACAGCCGGCTGGCTCACCTGATCTGAGGGGCTCTTCAGCCCACACTGCTCAGGGCTGTGTGTGGAGTCACACCTCGAGAATCCTCTGCTGTGGGGTCCAAGGCCTCTTTGCATAGGAATCTGTACTGCAGCTGCGAGTATGGTGCTGTCCTATAGACCATGAGGTGCTAAAGATTTAACCAAAAAGTTATTGAGTGTCTTATAGTGGGGGTTTTATATAAGACTAAATTTCATGTCAAGAAAATACCAAGGTTATTACAAATAATCTTATACGTTAAAAACAATTACCAAATCCCAGCAATGACCTACTTATCTATTTAAAGAAACACAGCCTCATACAGGAAGACTCCATCCTTCTGAGCACCCAGCCTACAACATGAGCAAATGTCGGTTGCTTAGGAATATGAGGTTAAATGCTCTGGGTCAGACAGATGGGCCTGGATCCTAATTTCAAAACTTAGTAGCTGTATGACCTCACAGGAATTGCTTCCTTTTTGCTGCCTCCACTGTATTATCATAGTGGTCACAATACTTAGGAAGGTGGGCTAGGACAGACCAAGCATGTCTCCTGAGAGTGCTGAAGGAAGTGGACTCCAGGGCAACCCCTTCTTTGGGGCCATTCTCAGCCAAGGGCCCCTGCCCACAGCACTGAATACCCTCGCGAGACCAGTGGCCATTTTTTGAGGAAAATTCCCATTAACCTGGAAAACTTCACAACAGACCAACATTGTTTCCTGCATTGGGGCTTGGAAACCACTGCATGAAATAATTCATCTGTTACTGTTTAATCCTATACTGGCTTTAGTTATATTCTTCATAGAGAAACCTTTAAAGTTTTCTCCTTTATGCGTCAGGTGTAGCTAGGCAACGTTGGCCAAATCTACGTGCCTCCCCTAACTGTTTCCACTTCAGCGTTTGAGGGAAGAATCAAAAGCCCTTGGGCTTGCAGATGCTTAGAGAATAGGCACGAGGCAACATTTTCTGAGCTCTCATCATATCCCAGGTACCACGCTAGACTTGCGTACGTATGGTACTCTCAACAGAGTGAGGCAGAGAGGTGATGAAGTGGGTTAGAGCCTGAGGATGGAGGTTGGGAACCTATGGGAGCATGTGCTAACCAGGGTGGTGGTGACCGCAGAAGGCTTTCCAGAGGAAGAGATAGCCAAGCTGAGTCTTGATGAATAGCCAGGTGCAGGTGTGGTGGTGCACCCAGGCAGAAGGAGTAGAGCAAGAAAGGACTTGGCCAGCCCACAGAGCCTGCCTGTCTGATGTGTTGCAGTAGATCCACAGAGCTGCAGAACTGGAAGAGGGGGTGAGGGAGGAGGTGGGGAATAGGAAGGCAGGAGCCAGGTCTCCATCATGCTCCTAATTCCTTCTGGGACATCATCTGTCCCTCAGCAATGCCTCTAATAGAGATATCTGCGGCTCTAAACATTTACTGATACCTTAATCTTTCAAGCAGAATGGTAAAGCAGAAAAAACCTGTGGGTACCTCCTCACATGTGTTGTTTGTTTGTTTGCTGTGAGACAGGGTCTCGCTCTGTCACCCAGGCTGGAGTGCAGTGGTGCCATCACGGCTCACTGCAGCCTTGACCTCCTGAGCTCAATCAATCCTCCTACCTCAGCCTCCTGAGTAGCTGGGACTACAGGCATGTGCCACCACGCCCAGCTAATTTTTGTATTTTTTGTAGAGATGGGGTCTCACCATGTTGCCCGGGCTGGGATTCCTCACATGTTTTCACATAAGTAGTCCCTATACTTGCCTGGTTCTTTCCAATGCGAAGAGAATTCTTCAGGTAATTAAGTTTAAGCTTCCACAACGATGTCTCTTCTCCCCACTGCTCTTTGAAGCTGATCTTTGTTGGGAAAATTATTTTTCATCAAACTGATCTAGATTACTCATTGACTAGCTTGTTGACCATAGTTGCTTCCAAAAAAAAGCTCACCTATTAAACTTAACAATAGGTACCAGTATTGAACTAGTATTATATGTCTGGCATGGTGCTGGGTGCTTCTGAAACATTTTTATTCAATACTCATAGCAAATTAATGAGGAAGACACTATGATCATTTTCACCTTACAGATGAGAAAAATAAAGCTTGATAAAATACCAGCTTATACATGACACAACTGGGTTTTAGTCTATTTGATTCCAAAATCACCACTCAGAGTCAATTCACTCCACTGCTATTACAAAATGCTTTTGAGAACCACCTAAAAGAAAGACATGTGGCTGTTGCTGCACAATGGACAACCAAGTTTTTTGACCAGAAAACATTTTTGCCTTCGCAGAGAGAACTCGGGAAAGCAGCAGGCAGCCCAGAATGGCGATGGGAAGATCCAGAGGCAGCAAAGGCTTCTCTCCGCCATGTGAAAGGCCTGAGTTTAGATACCTCAGGGAAGTTTTAATGCCAACCTTCTGTAAAACCCCCATTCTCTAACGTATGGCTTTAATTAACAATCATGTATCATTATTGGTTTGTTAATCATAGCAAATGGACCATACTCCTGTAAGATGTTATCAACAGGAAAAATTGAGGGAGAGGTATATGAAGCTCTGCACTATCCTTGCAATTATTCTGTAAATCTAAAACTGTTGTAAAAAAAAATAAAGTTGGGGGAGGAGCAAAAAGAAAAAAGTTTCTTTTTATTTAAAAAAACCCTTATTCTCCACAGCCACATCCATATTTCAGAATTATTCTTAGGAACTTCCAGAAACAATTCATTTGCTGTATATAACATTATGGCCTAGATTAAACTGAGCAGTAATTATTAATGCTTAATGTTAGTGTGGAAGCTCCAAAATTATATATTAGAGTGTTTGTGTAACTCTAAATCTTAAGATACATGTCAGTGATACCCAAAGTTTATTTATTTTTTTATTTTATAGAGAAAACATAATTGACAAAATGGTTACATACTTTTTAAACTTTGTTTTCAACATCTTTGGGAATTGTAGCCATTGAACCCCATGTTCCTGATTCAAGTTCCTCTGTGCATCTCGTAAGAGTTGTTGAATTGCAGTCCTAATGCCTGGGATTGAAGAAGATGCTTCCAAGGGGCCAGTCTCACAAATCAGCAGATAGGCTGACCAGTCTTTTTCACTCTGTTCTCAGGCAAGTGAAAGCGTTGTCTGGTCCTAAACATTATGTTCTAGTTATGCCCCACTTGTTGAGGGGTTGAGGGTGGCATTGATGCAGTCTCCATGCTTTAACTAGGCTGTTATTCCCTATTACCTGCCTGCCCCAGCTTCCGACTACCACCCAGGTTAAGAGGAGCATGTCTGATGAAGAAACCACCTCCCTTAGTCAAGATGATTCAACTTCATTCTACTTTCATGCCCTTTCTCCAGGTGGAGATCTGAGGGTCTGAGGAGGAGACAGAGAGAGAAACGGATGCAAAAAGGCTCAATTCTCAGGCTCCTGTCCCAACAACATCAGTATTATTTTCATAAATTTAATAAATGTATAGCTTTATATTATATACAAAGTCATATATATAACTACACACACACACACACACACACATATATATGTAAAACAATGTAGAAAGCCTGGCCAACATGAGTTTCATTATTATCCAGAAAGTCAGCAGGGGTTGGATGAGCTCATTCACAGAGACCCCTGGGTTTTAGGAGCAGGGATTTTTATCCCTCTGGACTGCGAGAGTTGGGAAGAATGAAAGGATCCAAGCTTTACCAAATTCAGACTCACATTTTAGTTCCCAGCCAAAGGTCATATTGAAGCACAGTGAGAAGCAAAGTTTCCCTGACAAAGGGGGTTGGACTTGGAGGTTGGTTCCCCTATTTAGAGTCAGACAATGGGAGGGCAGTTTATTACTTTCACAGCATGATGACAGTGCAATGCTTGGTAAACAAACAAACAAACAAACAAACAAAAAACCAGTTCTCAGGACATTTAGAATTTGTTCTTTCTCCCTGCCATGTGCTTCTGGGATGCTCCCATAAATCCCTTCTCTTATCTGGATACAGGGACATATTGACTAATCCTGCTAGGGATTGGGATCTGGAAAAAGCAATTTCTTCTTTGGTTTGTGCATTTTAAAAATGCCTGTGCAAGGACTATGAACCTGCTATTCATATTCCCAAGAAAAGATACCTGTATCAATTACTAGATATGGCACCTTGGTCATCAAGAGTGAGTGAGTCCAACAACTAGCAGGTGTCTTGGCTCATGAGGCGCCCCCTCCAGCATTAATGGGAAAAGAGATGAGGGCCAGGGCTGGGTGTGGTGGCTCATGCCTGTAGTCCCAGCCCTTTGGGAGGCCGAGGTGGGGGGATCACGAGGTCAGGAGTTCGAGACCAGCCTGGCCAACAGGGTGAAACCCTGTCTCTACTAAAAATACAAAAAAAATAGCTGGACGTGGTGGCCTGTGCCTGTAATCCCTGCTACTTGGGAGGCTGAGGCAGGAGAATCGCTTGAGCCCGGGAGGCGGAGGTTGCAGTGAGCGGAGATCGTGCCACTGCACTCCAGCCTGGGTGACTGAGCAAGACTTTGTCTCAAAAAAAAAAAAAAAAAAAAAAAAATATATATATATATATATATATATATATGAGGGTCCAGAGATTCCAGTTCAACTCCTCACTCCTGGGGAGATCTCACCAAATAGCAAAGGGTTTCCTGTTCACCCTTTCCATACTGGAACAAGTGAGAGGTGGGGGATGGGGAATCATTTTCCAAAGCCAGAATTGGCCCTCTTGGAATCTTTGTGCGTTTCTGATGGAATGTAGGAAAATTAAGGGAACTTGGGAGGTTCCAGGGATTTAGCACAGTCTGGGCCACAGCACAAGGTCTCATAGGCTCTGAAAGACCAAGCTATAGCTCCAATACAGGTGTTATCTGACTCCAAAGTTCAGGCCTCTTCTACTTGAGATCTGAGCCCCTCACACTGGAGCTTGGTCAGGTAAGGCTACAAAAGGGAGAGAGTAATGGAGGTCAGCGTTGAATAGATATGAATATAAACTCTTGGGCACTGTTAACACCAAACAGCCTGACATCTCACTTCAGATATAATTATAACAGTGTCCGAAATCCAATATTAACATTTAAAACTTCTAGCACGCTTATTGTGGAGTCATTGAGTGATGCAGAAAGAAAAAAATAAAGCCCTGAGAATTCAGCTCATTTACCCCAAGTCACTGACGCATTTAAGGAACAGCTCTTATGAGTCCATTTAGGTGGTTTAGGGCTGTGGAAGATGCCCAGAATCCCTAAATAGAAATAAGTACTGGTCATCAGAGCAGTGCGGTTAGGCCCTTTCTGGTCAGGAGGTCATCTTGGGCTCCAGAGCCACTTGTTCAGCTCTGATGTCTAAACAGCCAAAGTGAATTATTCACTTAGGAGGGTGAAAAACACTCAACTCCCCAGGATTGTCAAATGGAGTTTTCCATCATAAAATATCTTAGTCATTTGGAATCTAACCAAAGTAAACGCCTAGTCCTGACCCACCCATACCTCTGTGCTGGATGGGAAAGGAGAGAGGGAAATCCCAAAACAAATGGAAAAGCCACCTGCCAGCCACAGAGTGTGCATGGCCCTCCCTGGGCAGGGCTACTCCAGGTGAGACACGGTTTGAGCCAGGCTACAGGTGATGAGCGGGTCATGGGAGGGCTCTCAATGGCATCTCTGTTTGATTCCAGGCCTGAGTGGGGCTGCGGCTTACATAACAGTTTGGCAGGGAGACGCAGCCAGGCGGAAGCACGCGGGTTTCCAGCAGCGCATAATCATCTTTGATTTCTCTGTTTGCTCAGCAGCTTTCATGTGGTGGGGAAGGCAGTAGTGCAGGAGGAGGGGCGGAATTCCGATACACTGCGGCCTTCTGTTTTCTTCTGCAAAACAAACAGATCCAAACAGATCCCTATGGCCAGGGAATTAGCCACGGCCACACAGGTCCCGTGGCAGTCTGGGGGAGGAGCTGCCCTGGAGCCTGGGTAAGGCCTAAGAAGGTCAGAGATTGGCTTAAAGTTAAGGCCTCACTAGGTGCACAGGAGCCCGAAGGGCTACCGAGGAGCAGGGGTCTGGATGCTGGCAGCACCTAACATGGTTTACCCTCTTGGCACTGAGGGCTGTGGTGTCCCCTTCTGATTACAGAGACTACTGAATCCCATACTACATCCATCAAGAAAGGCAGCTTGTCAGGTCTCTTTCCTACTAACCACTGCCTGCTTTGTACCATCACCTCCAAGTAGGTACCAGGCTAATTCTGCCAGAATCCTGAGCATATGGGAGCAACCAATTTAGAAAATAACATTTTCTTTGACTAAAATACAAATTTCTAGCTCCTTTTGATCCTAATTGGTTTGGAATTGACTAGCAGCTGTTCCCTTTTAGAATGGGCTCATACCACTTGCTGTGGTCTGCACTATTCCCTATTGTCTTACACCAGGAGATCTTTTCATTGAGTTACTCTACTTGCCTGGCCCTTGCAGACATTTTTAGGATGAATTCCCTGCCCTATCCTAAATATAGGATAGATTATAATTTGCTTACCTCTCTGATTCTCCCACTAGACTGTAAACTCTTTGGACAGAAGCACAAACTGGTCATTCATTTATTCATTCAGCAATTATCTATGGCATGCTCACTTTGGACAGAGTGCTAAGTGCTAGTCATTGTGTTAGGAATATAGAATTTATCATGGGGGCCTTTAGTGCCTGGCACTTAGCACATGCTTTTACATGTGATTAGATTAAACGAATACATAAATAATTCTTCCAGCATGCAAACTGTTGATCTTGGCAGTGAGGTTCTGTTACCAATGTGCCCACCCTCTCAACCTTATGAATAGGTTTATTGACAGGATACATATTGTTTTGCAAGTGATTTGCATGAACTTGTATAATGTTGTGCTCAGATATCTCCCTACATTCAGATATTTTCTAACCTCCAGCTTGCACCTCTGGCCTCATGTTTTGCTACTCCCTGCCCTATCCAGCCATGGGGAACTGCTTGTATGACCTCCCTGAACTCACTGTGCTCCTGGGGCCTCCATGCCCTTGCTCACCCTCTCCCCTTAGTCTGGAAAGCCTTCATTTTGTCCTTTGCCTCATTACCACCCCTCCCCTGGCCAGCTCCCAGCCACCTCATAACCCTCACTCAGACATCATCTTCCCAGGAGCCTCCTCTGATTCTTCCAGGCTGAGTTAGGAGCTTCTACTCTTTGCTCCCATTTGCAGTGTGGCTCTTTTATGAGTCGTCTCCACCACCATGCTGCAAGCCCTGGAGGCAGGAACTGGATGTTTTTTGTTATCTCTGTGTTTTCAAGGCCAATCAGAGAATAGGAACTTTGTATATAGAAAGAACAATTCAGTCATGCTTGTAAATGAAACCCTAGCCAGGCCTGCATCTGTTTTAGCACATCAGTGCACACACACCCTCAACTTTGACACTCCCCTGCAGAGTCCAGATAACCGACCAAGGATCCAAATGGATTCTTGTTTTGGATAGAGTCTAGCTCTCTGTTGACATATCATGTTCTTCCCTCTATTATAGTAACTACCCATGCTCTGTGTGTTTTCTCAAGTTTTCAGTGTTTGAATACATGAAATTCTTTTGCTCTTTGTATGAAAACAATGCCATCTGTTCACTAGATAGAAATTCT